TGAGATACCATCAATATCCATTGCACTACTCACAGAAATCTTAACAGTGACAAGAGCTGAAAGGGATCCTGTGAGGCAGTCTTGCCTGATACCCATAACAATACATTGATTAAAGGAACTGGATTATTATTATTATTATTATTATTATTATTATTATTATTATTATTATTATTATTTCCTCCTGCAATTTCCTTAAGACAGCTCTGCTTACTGAAATTTTAGACTTTTGGAGTTACAAGGTCAGAAGGTAACACTAACCAGTTGTTTAGAGAAAACCCAAAGCAGAACAACATGCCAGTTCTAAATGTACAAGATAGGCTTTTCATGTATTCAGTCACACAACTCATTATTCATACAAGGAATTTTGTTCATTTTTGGTTGGCCTAATAAAGGGACTTTCACAGTATGGACTCTGGAAATGGTCTTATGGTGACCACAGCCACCCCTGCATTTGTACAATCCTTTAAAAGCACTCTAAAATGGAACTGCCTCTGTTTCAACATCTCACTGGCTGCTTGTGAGCATTGCCTCTGAGGATATTCATACCTGTAATGCAGCAAAGTGGCTTTAACCAGGACAAAGCTATTCTGGGTGACATCCCAACCTTTCACTGCTACTGGAGGCAGGAGCTGCTAGTCCCACATAAACCAGTGAGCTTAACCTGACCTGTTCAGCCTGACTAGTGAGTGCATCAGAGCTAAACAAATAAATAAAATCACTGTGGTGGTTGTTTTTGTTGTTGCCATTGATAGGAATGACTGGTTTAAACAGCACCATACAAATCATATCATTAACAGCTATTCTTGTATTTGAAATACTAGGTCAGATTGGTTAGTCTCAAAGGTGCTATAAGATCTCTCTACATACTGATTCTGCAGACTAACATGGCTTTATCTTTTAATTCTAGGTCAGATTGAGAGGAAGGCTGGCTCTCTTGGGAAACATCAAAATTGGATACTTGTAGTAACCACTAATAAATTATTCTTAATTTAATATGTCTATATATGAGAGCCAGCATGGTGTAATGGTTTGCATGTTGGACTACAACTCTGCAGACCAGGGTTCAATTCCCAGCTCGGCCATGGGGCAACCTTGGTCTCAGCCTCAGATGAAGGAAATGGCAAACCTCCCCTGAATAAATCTTGCTTTAAAAAAACCTAAGTTCACGGTAGGGTAGTCATAGATCAGAAATTACATGAAGGACTTGATGCACACAGCATGCATACATATATACACACAACCTTGGACAATTCTGTCTAATGCAGTAAATCACAGTGTGAACCATAAGGAGGCATTCCTATAAGGAACACTTTGTGACACAACAGGAAAAAGTCCACCATTTTCAATGATGGATTTGTTCCTCACCCAAAAAAAATGTTGTATATGCTCTGCATTAGCTCAAAGAGGAAGATAATACATCTTCTGTGGCCTGATAGTAAGATACTTTGGAAGTTTAAATGGTCGTTATCCCAGGAAAATTGTGCATTTGCGATCAAGATTTTCACACAACGTCGCAATTAAAGTGCCATTGTCCCATGAATATTGCATGAAAATCGCACACTAGTGATAATTTTCACATGACGTCGTGATTAAAGTACCATTATCCTAGGAATAACCAGGCAATAAACAGCAACAAATCATTCACTGGGAAATCCTGGAAATGATTTGCTGCTGTTTATTGCCTGGTTATTCCTGGGATAATGACTCTTTAATCAAGCTGTGTGTGAAAATCAAATCTCAATCTTAATCCCGAATGTGCAATTTTCATGGGATAACCACCGTTTAAACTCCCAATTTCCCCCAGTGTGATAAACTCCATACATTCCAGCTGAAGGAACTCCTTTTCCTACATCAATGTGTTCATCTATTGAGGACTCAGCTCTGTGAGTTTCTTGCATTTGCAAAAAGCTAATTGTTGGTCAATAGAGTATGCAAAAAAATATTTTTGGACTCTCAGAATTCCTCAGTCAGCATGGCTCCTGCCCATGAAGATTTGATTCCCCAAAGTAATTTCGCCTCATTTTTGATGAATGGGGAGTTCTTCTCAACAGTGACTTTCTCTAGGATGTTTACTTGGGTCTTACTTTGTTAGATTTCTGGGACCATGCACATTAATTTCTCTGGATTTTAAGGTAAGTTCTGTATTGTAGTTTTCTGTTCTTAATTGTTGGTTCTTATTGTGATAATGCTTTAATCTGTTTTATTGTTTTACCCTGTGGATAAGGGTGACAAAGAAAAATTCAAATATAAAATATTTTCATGAACATACTGTCATCAGCAATCAAACTCTTTCCTATTCTTCTCATCATTTTATCCTTACTCACCTGCTGTGGTAGTACATTCTTTAGGGCTCTTTCCCACTACACAGTTATCGCATTCTGATTCCACTTTAACTGCCATGGCTTCAGACTATACAACCCAGGGATTTGCAGTTTGGGGATAAGTACTTAGAATTCTCAGCTACAGAGCTCTAGTACACAAAGATACAAACCCCAGGATTCCAGAGGATATTCCCAAGTGGAATCAAGACCAGGGTCTGAATCCCTGTTAAGGCATGGAAACCCACTGGCTGACCTTGGACAAGTCACACTCTCTCAGCCTCAAAGAACAGTGAAGGCAAACCCCATCTGGACAAATCTGACCAAGAAAACCCTGTGATAGATGTACCTTAGGTTTAATATAAGTCAGAAACAACTTGAAGGCACACAACAACAATTGCAAAGCACTCATTGTTTGAATAGCATCTTGCTCAGGCTGGAAAACCTGCATGCCTCCATTTATGGTTGGATTCTAATTCTAATTTCCATCCACCCAAACTAGCCTGAACCATGCTGAGGGCTGATGGGAGGAAGTGGTTCATGAACATATAGAGGCATACAGGTTCCCCCGCCCAGCAATTACAAAGGACTTTGCAAAAATGGAAGAGAACCAAGGAAGTTTGCAAACATTTGAGGAACACTGGGCTCAGCCATGCATGGCAAGTCCTATTGACTGATCTGAGCTCTTCCAGTTTGCCAAGAGTGTGGCCGGTTCTGGGGCCCCGCATGCCAGCCAAATTGCAACCTCCTCAGTAGCATTAGTCATGAGAGGTTGTGGTTGTGCACTCAGCACATCCTGTACTGTAGTTGAAAGGTGTTGACATGGACTTAGCAGGCAGGTGCATAAGAAGGTAATTGATTCCCATTGGTTGTTGGACTCCCAAGGCTAATGAGCCTTTCAGCCTGGTAATTAATATAATGACAGGACTCTCCCCAAAGTAAACAAGGAGGGGGATCAATGCACATAGGACTTTCTATTGCCAGCTTCTCTGCCTGAGCCTACTTCTTGCGCCTTCTGAGGAGGAGGAATTTCTTGATCCTGGAGTTGAAAGAGCTTTTTTGGTTGCCTGGTTTTTAAGCTCTCTTTCCCCAAAAGATGTAGGACAGCCAGCCAGTGTCTAGATGCTTCTAGTTTCACCAAAGAAGCTGCCACTGATCACTCCTGAGGTAAGAAGAAGGATATAACATTTGCTAAACTCTTGGCCCACAAGCCTATGTGGGATTTGAAACGGATTGCATTCTGGGGTGCTTTATGGCAAGAAGAAAAAATGCATTTCAATGATCTTTTAAAAATATCAGATGATTTCAGGTTGAATTAATCCTGGATAGCCTGTGTCTTAACCTGTTACTCAGCACACAGCAGTCATCTGGGGTTTTGATCTGTCTCTGTAACAAATTAAGGGGTTATGCCAGCCCTAAATATGTGGATACTCTTAACACTAGGGACACTCCCTGATGGACTGGGGTATTTAGCCTGAAGGTGTGAGTTGAGCTTAAAGCACTGTGCATTTATTTAAGCACCCAACTGGACAGTAGCTTCACTGGACCATCATTTGTAAATGGCTCATTTTAACCCCATGGTGGCTACCTTTAGTTAATGGATCCATCTTTTTTTTTTTTTTTCATGCTGTGCTCTCAGAAGGAGAAATATTCAGTAACGAATTACAAAATGATTTTCTTAAAAAGTTTTCCACTCAGAAATATTTTAAATACCTATTATGGTGAATTTAAACTAAAATATGCCAGCACTTACAGCACCATTTGATTCTGTTATACAACAACAGTGCCCATCTTAAACTGAAAAAATTGATGTCAACATTTGGAATTTTAAAGTTGACTTAATATAAATTTAAAATCTCTAAGGCTGTCAAAATAGTCTGACCCTGAATTGAATCTTTAATTGTGAAATTGAGGGGGAAAACTCTTTTTAATTAGCCAATTTTTCCAAAATACAGTATTAACACTATAATATAATTATATCAAATCTGGGGAAGTCACAGATTATATTTAAACATTTTTCAACTTTATTACCCATCCATCCCATTTGGGTTCCATTAGATTGCAACTTTGTACTCACTTATCTCAGCACATGCTCACTGAATTTATGAGTGAACTATATACAGCTATTCTGCTATATGTACAGTACTATATTTCTATACCCATATGGTGCTTATTTGTCAGCAAACAGACATAGGTTTCTGCCATTTTTCACTGCTGATAACTGATGCTGAGATCATTGTTTTTCCTACTGCTCGCAGCTTTGCCCCAACCACACAGGAAAACACAGTGGAGGAGATTTATAGGCAGTGAATGTCCAAAGTATCATGAAAGCAATAGCAAAATGATAACCATTCTGTCACTATTGTACTTCTGATTGATAACTCCTCAGAGAGGTCAACTACATAAAAGTCTTGGTGGTCCAATTTTGTTTTATCATCTTTTGGGGATTCATGCCCTTGCATGGGGGGGGGGGTAGAGCTCCCCCTTGCCTAGGGTCCATGCAAGGAATGGTCAAGTCTAATCTGACAGCAACCTCTTGGCCCTGCACCTATATTAAAAGTGGGAATCACATGCCCCCCCTCAGAGATGTAAGACTGCAACTCCCAAAATCTCTAGTAAACACAGCCAATGATTGGGAGTCCTGGGAATTGCCATTCAAGGGGTCCACAAGTTGCCCATCCTTTAATAAGTGGACTTTGTTTCTTGTGACAGGCAGACTAGAAGCCAACAGTCCTTCCTACCAGCAAGCCAAAGGCAAAAAGCAACTCCACCATGGGAAGCAAAGAAGGAACATGGCAGGGATATCAGCCCCAGGAAGAGGAGAAAGTTGAAAGAAGAGGGAAATCAAGCCCCAGCCAACTGAGGAGCCAGAAGACCCACCAAGACAAGTCATGGCTCCAGCGGCACTGCTCTTCCATCTTGCGCAGGGATAAGCAGGCCCAGAAGGCTGGGCAGCTTTTCTCAGGCCTGATGGCCATGAATGTGGTGTTTTTAGGTAGTGCTTTCATCTGCAGCATGATCTTTAACCAGGTCGCCATTACAGTGGACGATGTCTGGATTTTCCTTTCCATTCTCAAGATCCTGGCTTTAATTTGGATAGCATATTATTTGCTTTCCACTAGGCGGAAGCCGCATGCGATCTTACATCAAGATCCCCATGCAGGGCCAGTCTGGGTTAAAGGTAAGCACTGCCTCCCCCTGCATCTTCTTTGCAATGTGCCAGGCCTGGCACGCACGACATAGACCACATCCAAGCAGCATCCCTTCCAGAGCCATGGATAGCTCCTTCTGGCGTATTTCAAAGACATGATCCATGTTTACAAACTATACAGCAGGGATAGGCAACCTTTCCCCTTTAAGGGCCGAGGGACTTCAGCTCCCAGAATCCCAGGAGTTATTGGCCAACATGGGACTATTGGCCAACTTGGCTGAGGCTTCTGGGAGCTGAAGTCCCTCAGCCCTTAAAGGGGAAAGGTTGCCTACCCCTGCTATACAGTATCCAGAAATGTATAGAGTGAAGCTTTATTGCCCATCAGTGCTTCCCACAGATAGAAAAATATGACCCTATTGAATATGTGTAATGCAGCTATTAAAAGGCAGAGAAGCCCTACTGTAATAAAAAGATAGTCAACCCTCCCACTCAACATTCCACATTTTGCAAAATGCTACATTAAGTTGAGGTGGGAATCATGTGGTTTGGCCAACACTGTTAGGCTGCATGCTTTATCAGTCCTAGCCAGTGTAACCAATGTAAGGAATACTGG